TCGAATGGAGATACTTTTTAAGAAAGTTGTAGGACTTGTTAATTATTATGTACTTGTTAATTGTTATGCACTCGGTCCTACGAGTCAATATTCCGTATTGATTTTTCGTATACCGACCGTGTTCGACATAATTTCGCTCGAATTAGTTCGTTTTCGAAATTTTTGATATTCCGTAAGTTCGTGTTCGTTTTCGTGTCCGGCTTTACCGCTTTCGTTTTCGTTTTCGTATTCAAATGTACAAGTAGAAAACTGTTGAGAGGTTTTCCGACCGTTTCCGACCATTTTCATCCCCTAATTGCATGGGTACCCAGTAAGGCAGTAACCATAGTCGTAACTCCTAAAGCCCTTTTCCTTTTAAAGAAGGCGGACGTCCTAAAAATCTACAGTACGGTGTATTAAGTCGATAATTATAAATTTTATATAATCAACTGCAGTATCTTTTATTGAATTAACCTACACTCACATAACACAGTCCATTTAGCAATTTTTGTTTGATGCGGCAGTGACACCCCCTTGACAGTCAAGATGCTCTTAGTTACTTTCCCCCCTCTGTGAAGGAAAAAGGTGTGGGGGAAAATGGTAACTAAACTAATGACAGATAACTTTGTCCCGGTTGCTGTCCTCATACTTTAGTATCTTATTATCTGATTTATTGATTGGAAGAAAATTCCATTATCAGTTATTTTCTCAATTTTCTGGACAATGCCCATCTCGTCTTTCAGACTGATGAGTTAGACAACTTCATCGGATTCTCTCGTGAAACCTCTTCTCCTTTACTTGCCATTTCCTAATGTTATGGTCCCAGTTACATTTCCATTTTTTGCAGGAGATGGTCCCAGTTACATTACATGGTTCTGTTGGACACAATGAAGCCGTCCAGATATGCTATTAAAATCCTGCTAGTTATTATGGCCTTAAATTGTACCATGTCTGTTCCATTTTAAGCTAGGCAGAGCATGAACTATCAAAGGATCATGTTATAGACACCTCACATTTGAGAAAATTCTGTTCAGTGGTTCTTCAAGGGTAAAGTTTATTGCCTTATGCCCTCAATTGTCAGTCGTAGTGATTTTCAGAGCAACACTGTGTTTTTTAAAGGTTCAGCTTCTGCATTCCAGTAGCTATATCAACAACACATGCCAAAACCAGTCTCAGCCTTCTTTCCTGATTTATGATTTATGATGCCTCTCATCCTGTAACATTGATGACAGTGACTAGTGATACTAGTGATCGATCATGCTGGCGAATGCTAGACGTCATTATCATACAGCAGGCCAGCAGCCAGGTAAGGTGATGTATGAATCATTTGTATCTACCGCGTTTTACCTTTATACATGAGATACCCTGTCCCTTTTCGTGTACACCCAGGAGCTCCACTTTGGCAGTCTGCTACTCTGCTTCTTCCACTCCTGAAACTGAGCCTGCAGGTGCTGGCAACGCGTTGCCTGCTGGAGTCCTTATCCAATCAGTGAAGGCACTAAACTCGCAAAGCCGTTGGAATCTGCGAGCAAGGTCATGCACATCTTGTTGGATGAAGTTAATACAGCCTGCAAGATATGGAATCTGTGTAAGCAAGAGCATTCATACCTTGTTCTTGTTAGCTGTTAGCTTCCTTCCATACATGTAAGATGCGTATAAAAGCTGATGAAGCCACTGATGATTCTGCTGATCTAAACATTGTTTGTTTTTTGGGAGAAATGATCTAAACATTGTTGGCAACAGGAGTCGATCTCATAGACGATGACTGTGCACCTAACTGCTTACCCCATGGACTTGTTGCTTGTTTAGGCCCGGTTTACCACACCTAGAGCTGCAGCTGCTGCTCCTGCGGTCCTGCCCTGCTCGGTTGCCATCGTGGCATGTTGATTGCTGGTGAGTTGCCACTGCTGTGCCTGCATCCGTCCATCCGTCCATATAACTTTCCATTGACATCTTTGCAGCTGCTCTTTTTAGCTGGCCTGAACTGTCCACCGTCCCAGTCCCCTCCGATCACAATTCACAACTGCTTCGCAGTCTGCCCACTGACAAGGTGCGTACAAGTCCCTCCTGCTTTCTCTTCTCCCTTTCACTTCATGTGCCTGGAAGAGCAAGCCCCCGTTTGAGTAGAGACGCTGCTTCCTTTGCCCAGTCGCGGCAATGGCAAAGCATCCCGGTATGTGCAGCACCAGTGTTAGTGTAGCCTGGTGGTGACACGGCAACAGCTTGCGAAAACATTCACTTGCTAGGTTTGCAAGCAAGCAAGTCGCGCTTATGGACGTTAGTGACGATTTGGTGCTAGACCATAAAGGCTAAGGCTCTTGTGCAAACTTAATCGTGTAAGGTCCCTAGGTTCGGTGCGGTCATGATATTATCTGGCTATATCAAATAGATCGGGTAAGGTCGTTTATTTTGCTAGAGGAATTTAGAGCATGCTTTTGGTAATTCACAGAATCTTCTTTTATCAAGATTTATTATAGAGCCTCTATTATATTCAGCCAAAAAATCGAGATTTGTCGACGATTTTGTGTATCCAAAACCCAAACTCTTGATAATACAGTACGAGTTGGCAAGCTTTAGTCAGCGTCACAGTGCAACAGAAAGGCAAGACCGCATTATTCAAGTAATGCAGTTTAGGCAGTAATAATCTTCGAGTGAAAAACCAAGCGAAGAACTCACTGGGGGCAATGGGGAAATAGTCGGCCTGTTCGCTGGTTGGTTTCTGGACTGATAAGTCCGACTGATGCTGGTTTGTTGTGAGAGAAAAACATTGTTGGTTGACTGATAAGCTCTGGCTGAAACCAACCAGCGAAATTGGCTGAGAGTATGGGAAAGAGAGAGCTTGTCGCTGACATTAGGCTCTCCTTTCTCCCCAACAGCAAAACAGCGTACAATTGCAGTGGTTGTGGGGGTGGTCGCAGCTTCTGCTGGGGCGCCCTGGCCGTGCCGTTGCTTCCACGGCGTTCGTCCGATCACTCATCACAAGCACTTAATCCATCTCCACATATTAATTCATGTCTGCAAGCAGCGATTTCCCTTTTTCCATTTTTAGGCTGTTCGTTTCGGCTGGATTGCTCATATATGGCTTATAATTCATGGTTTGAATAATATTTTTTTCTCACACCAAATCAATCAATAGTACTTTTAGTCATGACTTATAAGCCAATCCAGCCGAAACGAACAGGCTGTTTGTTATGATACTATGAAAATAAAGAAATGTACACCATGATTTCATTAGCCCATCCGGTGGACAAGGAGCAATCAAGTCATCAAGAAAAGTATACTAGAAGGGAAAGGAGAAGAGGAGGTGGAAAGTGAAAACCGTACGTACCTCTGTTTGGTTAATTTCCGGCTTTTGTGTTTTTTAACCTCTGATTAATTAACTTTTGCATTTATTACTGTTTTGTTTGTTTTATATAGAAAAGAATTCCTCATTTATTACCCCTCCTCTCCTACGCGGAAACAAAAGCTCCTCCCCGTCGCTTTCTCAGGGAACCGGGAGCTCCGTCGTCACAAATTCTCTCCTCGTATTTCCCACCTCCTCGTGCTCCCAGCCTCCCTCCCTTCCTCCGCAGCGCTTCTCCTCCAGTCTTTCCGGCCGGATCCCTGCCCCCGAAATCGGATTGGGGAGGGCTCGCTGCGTTCAGGCGCGGGCGGCGGCGTGTGGCGGTTCTCCGGCGCCGAGGTGGTCAGAGGTCAGGATCGCATCGTTTCTCTTTGAATTTTGGTCCCTGGACGGCGGCATTTGTCGCTGCCTCGCCGAATGGTGTCCAGGAATCGAAGCTGCTTTTGTTTCGATCTCTTGTCGGGACGGTTGGAATCGGCGAAAGCTCGCGCAGGATGCTGTGCCGTTTCCCTGGACTGGACGCTTGTCGTGCCCGGCGTCAGAGCTCGAGAACAAAACCGCCATTTTTTTTCTCCACTTCTCCCCCATCGATTTCAAATTCCAATAATCTGGGGCTCACCAATTGTTGTTGCTTGCCCTTGGAATCTTCCAACCGCCGAATTCTTTTTTGCCCTGTCTTTATAGAGTTTCTAACTTTGGCATTAGAAAGAACCAGGGAGCAAAACGCTCGAACGCGGCTCTCTCCCTGCGTTGAAAAATTCGGAGAGCCGGAAAGAGAATTTTGCGCCAATTTTCTTTTCCTCTCTTTTTTTTTTGCCATTTTGCTTCGCGGCGACGGCGAGGAGATGAGACGAGGCCCCGCCATCTGCCGCGCTCTGGCTAGCCGTTGGAGTCGCACCAACGGGCACATTCCCTCCTGGCCCAGGAGCGGCTTCAGCGGAGGTAATTATAAAAATAAACAAATAAAAATGTCATCTTTTACCTCGCCCATCCTTTCTACCGCAAAGAAAAGTTGGTTCCTCTCCCTCCCAGCTGCATTAGTTTATGCTCCACTACAGGAGCAGGCAGCCACAAGAGAGACGGTACTTTTAACGGGGACTTGCCTGTGCTAATCATCATAATTAAGCCACTAGTTAGTCGACCTCGTCCCTAACCGCGGTGGCCTGGGCGACCGGGCAGCGGGCACCCCTCCTCCACCACCATTTAATCCACTTGTTTCTCTCTCTCTCTCTTCCCCCGTCTCTGGCTTGGCTTCGCCATTACTTGGCTTGCAGGAGCTGGCCGTGGAGTTCCCGTGAGGTGGAGACCAAGCCATGACTGGCTCGCCCCTACCCGCACCCGAAAGAGACGCTTCGATTCCTATGCATAAATAGGAAAAAGGAGAGGAGGAATTCGAGAAAATCACCGCCTCTCTTCCTTTCTTCATCGCCCTGCCCTTTCTTTTTCTCCTCTTCACCTACCGAATCCCGTTGCCGGGGTCCTCGATCTGGTTCGCTTGCTGCATGATTCCGAGCCTCTGAATTGTCTTGTGCGTTGTGCCACATGGATTGTGTGTCCTGACATTGGATTGCTGTTCGTGTTGTTGCTGTGTTGGCAGGTCGGGACGGGCGGTAGATTGGTGGTGGCTTCGTGGCGCTATCAATGCTGGTGGATTTGAGCCGGGGCGGTGGGTGCGCGGATGGACGCCTGCGAAATCCGGGCGCCCGGGGCAGTGCTGCTCCGGAAATCTGACCTGCCGGCGGAGAAGAATTACACTAACGGCCATGCTGATGCCGCGGTGAAGCGCAAGGTAGCCGCGATGCCAGCAGCGGCACCTACTACTCCGAGGAGGCACCCATCGCCGAATGCCGGCGGTCGGGCGTCGTCTCCGACGCCGGCTGGGTCACAGGCGAAGAGGTCCCAGTCCACCGAACGGCGGCCGGCGACTCCGTCGAGGGCGTCTTCCGGCGGCTCGCGGCCGACTACCCCGTCCAGAATCTCTGCCCCGGCGTTGCCATCGTCTGCGCCTTCCAGCCCATCCTCCTCATCCTCCAGCTCGTCGACACCGGTGCGTGATGCCGTTTCTGAAACGCAAAGCGCCCCGAGGAGGTTGTCGGCTGGCCGGGCTCCTGATGGGTTGTGGCCTTCAATGCGGAGTCTGTCTTCTTCTTTCCAGCCCGAATCAAAGGGGAAAAGGATTTCCAGTAGCTCTTCTACAGATCAGGCCAAGACGAGGGATGCAGCACCAGCTGATAGGAAGAGGAGCCCATTGAGAGGGAGAGCTACTCCTGAGCAATCGGAGAATCCACATGCCAAGGTTATTGATCATCATCGCTGGCCTGCTATGATGGGGGGCAAGGTGTCTGCAAGCACAATGTCCAAGAGCATGGATCTCACTGATAAGATCAGTAGGTCTACTCTTCCATCAGTTCCGTCACGTGGGGTTTCACCGAAGCGAACTACAATGTCCTCCGCTGCAAATACCTTGTCAAGAAGTATTGATCTTGCTGATAAAATTGACCGGCTGGTCTCTTCGTCAATGTCATCACAAGGGGGATCACCAAAAAAGTCACCTTCTTCAAATGGTGCAGATGATGTGTCCAGAAAGGTCGGTGTTCGTAAAGATCTCAAACTTTCATCCTTGGCAATTTCATCAAGAAGGGTGTCACCAATAACAACAGCTGCATCAGATGGCACTAGGACCCTATCAGAAAGCATGGATCTTACTGAAAAGGATAACAGTACACTCTCCTCATCAGTTTCATCACCCAGCATTTCACCAAGTGTGTCTAATGCTGCATCGCAGACTACTACAAAATCATCCGAGAGATTAATTGGACCTGTTTCCAACCTGTCTTCATCGAGAGGACTTTCACCTAGAAGAACAACTTCTGGTGGCATTGCTGCTTTAATGAAAAATGTTGATTTTCAGCCTGAAAAAGATAGGAGACCATCTTCATCAAGAGGGGTTTCGCCAAGAAGGCGATTTGCCTCTGATGGTGTTAATGATATTGTGAAAAATATGGATTTTGCTGAAAAGGATAGCACAGTAGTCAGCCTGTCAATTCCATCTCGAGGGGTTTCTCCAAGGAGAAGACTTGCCTCTGATGGTGTTGATACTATATCAAGGAGCTCGGAGTTTTCTGGAAAGGATAACAGGCCATCCACCTCATCTTCCACATCACGTGGGAATGGGATGTCTCCACGAAGAAGGCTTGCTTCTGATGGCATAAGTGCTGTAACCAAAGGCATGGACTTTGGTGATAACGCTAACAGACCATCAACCTCTTCAGCAGTATCACGAGGGATTTCACCAAGACTTCAATTAGCCTCTGATGGTGTTGGCACTGTATCAAAAGGCACAGGTCTTTCTGATGGACTGAACAGGCCATCAACCTCATATGCAACACCACGAGGTATGTCACCACGACGCAGGGTTGCATCTGATGCTAGCAATGCGACTTCAGAAAGGATCAAGTTCACCGAAAAGGATTCCGGAACTGTGTCCTCTTCAGTTGCACCTAGAGGGGTCTCAACATTAAGACGACTTGCCTCTGATGATGTTGAAACTATATCAAAAAGTATGGATCTCGTTGAGAAAGATACTAGACCTACTACCTCATCAGCTGCATCACGAGGGCTTTCACCAAGAAGGCGACTTTCCTCAGATGGTGTCAATATGATTCCAAAGAGCATGGATCTTGTTGAAAACAATAACAAACTTGTCACCATGTCAGCTGCAGCACGAGGGGTTTCACCAAGAAGACGGCTCGCCTCAGATGGTGTCAATGTGATATCAAAGAGCATTGATCTTGTTGAAAACAGTAACAAACCCTTAGCCATGTCAGCTGCAGCACGAGGGGCTTCACCAAGAAGACGGCTCTCCTCGGATGGTACATCAAAGAGCACAAACATTACTGAAAAAAGTATCAGACCTTCAACATCGTCAATGTCATCACGAGGGATGTCACCAAGAAGACGGCTGGCCTCTGATGGTATCAATGCTGTATTGAACACAGAATTTGCTGACAAAAACTGTAGACCATCTTCCTCATCAACTGCTTTACGAGGGGTTTCTCCCAGAAGCAGGTCTGCCTCTAATACCATATCAACAGGCATGACTTCTGCTGAAAAAGACAGCAGACCGTCCACAGCATCAAGTGCGTCATGTCAGACTCTGCAGAGCAGTAGGCTTGAATCTGATGGTGTTAATACCCTATCAAAAGATGTGGAGATCTCATCGACTGTATCTGGTTGCACTTCAGACAGTAGACTTGATGGCACTGGTGCTCTAGTAAAAAGCATAGATGTCACTGAGAAACTTATTGTGTCAACGGATGATGATGGTGATGGTGACGATCCAGGAAGAATGAATTCTAGTGACATAGTTACTAGTGCAGTCTCATCATCCCTTGCATCTCAAGAGGTATCACCAAGACCTGTTACTGATGACGTTAAGAATGCATCAGAGAATGTTGATGCAACTCAAAAAGGTAACAGAGCATTATCGGTGAAGGTTCCATCTCGAGGAGCTTCTCCAAGAAGGCGACTTGCATCCGATGGTATTGATACTATATCTAAAAGCATGGATTTTGCTGAGAAAGATAAGAAAACCATGACAGTGTCAGTTCCATCACGTGGAATGTCACCAAGAAGAACAGCGAGATCTGACAGTGCTAATATAATATCAAAAAGTATGGATTTTGCTGATAAATGTAATGGACCAATATCTTCAATGGTTCCTTCACGAGTGTTTTCTACAAGAAGAGTACTAGGACCGGATGGTGCTAATGCCATGTCAAGAAGCATGGATCTAACTGATAAAATTAGACAGCAAATATCTTCAACTGTGCAATCATCCAGAGCTTCACCAAGGAAAATACCTCCTGCTTATAACAGAATAAAAGGCCCTGAAGTTTTATCAGGTGGTGTTGAGAGCCCTGGTTCTGCTGATGGAAATGAAAGTCAAGAGGAGAATACCAGTTCAAGTCCAGATGCACCTTCAAATAATTCTAAAAAATCTACACCTCCAAAGCAGCTAGCTAGGAGATCACCTTCGCCATCACGTATTTTAATACGCCCTTCATCACCATCCAATGCTTCATCGACACCATCATTTGCCTCTAGGAGATTACCAAGCCCATCAAGGACTAGACCCTCAACACCTGTCTCACCATGTAGTTCTGCCAGATCTGATTCAGCCTCTTCAATTCTTAGCTACATTGGTGATGCTACAAGAGGGAAGAAGAGCCCAGCTCACATGGAAGATGCCCATCAGTTGCGCCTCCTGCATAATAGAAACTTACAATGGCGTTTTACCAATTCTTATGTTGATGAAATGCTGTCAATTCAGAAAATAAATGCTGAGGTAAATTCCATATCCTTACTTCTTCCCGTTAACTTTCTGATAGTATGGTGCTGATTGCTGAACTCCCCATTCATCTTAGATCTAGATTTTACCATAACCTGTTAGGGAGCGGGAGAAAAAAAATGCTTTATATATACCCAAGCTCTTTTTTTATTTTTTATTTTCATTCTGTTGTATCCTTGTTCATATATGTGTGTAGTATCAGCCATTTATCTTATATTATACTGAGGAAGTGGAAGAAAATAGCTGTTTATCTTATATCGAGGAAGTTGAAGAAAATGGAATAAATGTATTGTGCAAACCTAAAATCTTATGCTGGGTTACCTCATTCTAAGATACTTTTGTTCTTTATTTCCCTAATTCTAATATGTGGTCAATCCGTAAATACCATGAGTTTATTTCTTACTTTATTTATTCATTTGAAGCAGACTATGTTGTACAGTATATGGGATGCTAACTCAAGGATGTGTGACTCTATGGTTATGAAAAGGAGCTATGTACAAAGACTAAGGCAAGAGGTCAAATTGGGAATAGTGTTGAAGGAGCAAGTAAGTTCTGTTGATTTTTTGCATATATAAATACATTGTTTCATGCCAGCTGGCAGAAATAGATCTATTTGATCATCATGATCATGCATGCACTTACTTGGATTTGATGGTTACATTAAGATATTCAAGCTGAATGTAGGATGCAGTTTTATGTTTAAATGATTACTTGAGTACTAATGTTCAAACATATGCATGTTCAATAGTCGCTACAGAGGCACAAGAAGATATTCATATTTTTATCCAACCTCTTTGATAAATATAAGAGGACAAAAGCATTTTTTTCTTACCATGTTTTTTTAGTTTAGATATTTTCGTCCCAAAGATGTTCTGATTTGTTTGTGGAGATACCTTCCTTATAAGTGAGCTACCAGCACCCTTTGGAATCCCTATGTGCTAATATGTTCAATAAATCTTCTTGAACCAATTTTCTTGAAAAATGCATGTACTAGTCTGTGTTATCTGTTACTGAACATTGATTGTTGCATCATGTAGATGGATTACCTTGATCACTGGGCAGCGCTGCAAACAGAGTATTCTTCTTCTTTATCCAGCGCAACTGAAGCTCTTAAAGCAAGCACATTGCGTCTTCCAGTTTCAGGAGGAGCTAAGGTATCCAAAATTCTCTTTTTTAAAAAAGATAAAAAATAGATCTAATGTAGTAGTCTTGAAATTAGGGTAAATACTTGGGAACCATGACTCCTGGGAAAATTACAAGTTATTACATGCTAAATAAGTTCTCAACATCTCATTGAGAACTCCTTTTTACTCTTTTAGCAAAAATGCGAAAGTCATGGTTATTCTGTTGTTATGTTCTCTCTTGCAGGCCGATGTACTTACTGTCAAGAATGCTGTCAGCTCAGCAGTTGACATTATGCAAGCAATGGGGTCATCCGTTTGCCATTTGCTATCAAAGGTTAGTTATGAAGGTCCTTATATTTCTATAACTATTTCTGCGTAACAGCTCTACCATCACCCTGGTAGTTTTGCTTGTGATTTGTGCTTTGATAGTGTGTAGACTGGTTTATTAATTTTTAATACCTTCAACAGCCACAACAAAGCCTTCTAGTCCTAAGCAAGTTGGGGTAGGATAGAGTTGAAACCCACCGTGAACCACCAACAAAGAGGGGAAAGAAAGAGAAAAAAGAAATAAATTTATGAGTGAATATATTTATAACACGTCAATAATAAGGATATTTTTTGGGGATCTAGAGCCTGTTCGTGGTAGTGGCACGCGAACGATGACCTATTTTGGTTATTAGACATTCACAGTTAGGAACAATGTGTTATGGTGGGAAAGGTGTACCACCACCGTAACAAGAAGAGTGGCTAAGGTAGTTGGGCGGGGGGCATGCACCAGAGTGCAGCCACCAGGGCCAGGCGTGGGAGCCGGTTTGGGCTCCAGCCGGTTCAATAGGAGTTAGTTATCAGGAGTGCTATTTTAGTTGGAGTTTGTTAAGTCAAGTTTGTTAGCCCTTAGATTTAGGAGAGGTTGGTTATTGAGTTGGTATAAGTGTCAAACAATCTGAAGGAATAAAGATCAGCCTGTGATTGAGTTTATCTCACCTTGGGCCTTTGGGCCCTCAGGCGTTACTGTTTACGGTCCCCTGTTGCCACCAAGTTTCCAGCCAGGCGCCGAGCACGGCGCCGCCAGTTCGTCGCCGGGGTTTCAAGCCCAGGCCTCTCATCTCCCACTCCTACGCCCTCAGATCCTTAAGCTCCAACACAATGACCTTCAGGTCTAACCATTGACTTCTGTTCTGCAGTTACAGGCTTCACACTCTCTGGTTACAGAACTTTCAGCTGTTGCTGCTAAAGAAAGTACCTTACTCAATGAGTACAGAGAACTCTTAGCAACAGCAGCAGCACTACAGGTACAATCTTGGTTTTTTATTTGCTTTGTCGTTTTTATTTCTTTTGTTCTTGTAGACTTATCAAGGATACAGAAAAAAAAGGCATGACATTTAAATTGAGATAAGTGCTTGTGGAGAAAGATTATGTTATATGGCCACAAATGATTCCATGAGTACATTGGGCTAGAAACGATATTTTTCTGTTTAAAAAGAATAATATTGTGGCTGTCTGTCCCTGACAATATTTTCATCGGGTCACTGGGATCCACTAGAATGAATGTTACCCTATTTCTGGGCATCCTGTGTCTTTTTTGTAGCTAATACTAATATTTGTTGAGCAGATGATTACATCTGTCTACTGTTTCGCTACCATGTACAAAAATATCACAAATGGTTGTTTTTCTTCCATCTGGCTATAACTTGCATGTTAGCTTTTCTGTATGAACAATTCTGAAGCCACAGCCCTACTATAAAACGAGTTACTTCTGAGTTCCATGCGTCAAGCTGCAATCATAATAGATGTTTTGAGTATACAAAAAAGAAACAGCGTGGTTTGATGCTCGGTTTGAATTAATAGCCATCTTCCTCTGAACAGGTCCAAGAGTCCAGCCTAAGGACACAGCTCATACAACAAACAGAGTGAACAGGTTAAGGTCCTGTATTTCTTACTAGGAAGATAGAGGTAAACACCATTCATTAGTTTCAGTGACTGCGGTGCATATGTGTATCTTCGATGTCGTTTTGTTTTTCTTTTTCTCTTCCTTTTTTTTCCCCACTTATTAGCTAGCCCATATTTCTTTACATTTCTACTCCCCCATGTTCTTTTCTGTTCGAACAAGTTACATGGAAGAGAAGGCAAGCAACACGAAATCGTGGATTTACTCCATGACAAAGCTGTCAATGTGGTCTTTTATTGCATCCTCCACCAATGTGCCAAAAACTGAAAGTTTTGTTGTAATTTGTAAATCTTAGTGGTTATGTGTCCTTCAGTGTAATGCCTTTAGATGTGTATCTTTCTTAGATTGCCATCACCTTAGAATTAGAGATTCCAGTGCTGGTCCCAAATCCAAGCAAGGGACGACCAGAAACTTCTAACCGACACTACAGAGTAGATGACAGGTATCCAATACTGACTTCGTTGCTAGCACTTGTAAGTACTGTATGTCCTGTCAGGAGAATACCATGTTTTGTTCTTCTCCACTTACCCTGATGGGAACCATATTCCTTGTCATGCCGTGTTGTTGGCATACAGCAAGTTGTTTTCGCTATTGCTCTCATTTGCATGTGCTATGCTGCTGCACATGCAAGAGTGTAAGCTTTGTGGTCTCCTCCAGTGCATGGGTGAATCGTGGGTCGCATGCACAGCCTGATGTCGATAGCTAAACTGAATATAATTTGGTCCTTAGAGAATGGGATTGGTTTAGGCCTCACGGCATCATGGTGGATTGCATAGGCTGATGGCTAGCTCCTATTAATTTTCTGTCACCCTTTATTAGAATTTAGAGGCGTGGGGCGCATGATGAGATAGCAGCACATCTTCCTACTTTCTTTTATTTCTGCGAGGACGTTTTCATCTTTTGACTTTGGCTGTATATTTTACTGTATTGATCATACCTTTGGTGCAGTCGCCATTCTGTGCTGCTTTTTGTTGCATGTTGTGCCACGGCCGCTTTCTGTAAATTATGATCGGTACTAGAATCAGAGGTTCTAGTAAATAGATATGTACTCCGTATCACTGTATTTACCTCACAAAGATGTGTGGTGCATGCACTTGTACCCTCTCCATCTCCCCATGCTATTCTCGCTTCTCGATGAGTCAATGAATTTAAAATTTTATTAAATATATACAAAATACTAATATATGATGTATAATAAATATCATTGATGAACTTTAATGCTTTTAATATATCTAGTCATATTTAAAAAAATTGAATTTAATTCAAATCTAGAATGACATTATTTAGAGACGGAGATAACAGTGTAATAGACTAGCATCTTCAGCAACTCCCAAAACCCGTTGCCAGGACCAGTTTTTTCATTGATTAAACAGTCCCCAATACCGATCAGCTTTCTGAATCTGGTAGTTCGCGCCATAATCCATCGCGCGCGAGGTAGTTCGCGCCTTCCATCGTCCTCGCGGCTTTGCTCGCAGCACGCCCTGGTCTGCTGCTTTGCCTGTCGCCGCAGGCCGCGATCTGTTCGCAAAATCGTAGCCGGCTATCCGGGAGGCCGATGTTCTGAAACCTGAACAGTGGATCCTTTGAGTCCTTACCGGCGAGCGGCGAGCCCCGAGCTCGGCCTTTGCCTCTGCCACGGCGAGCGGTGGCGGCAGCAGGGGCAGGAGCACAGGCGGCGGCTTAAAGACGTCGGCGTCCTTGGGCTCACATGAGCAAGTGCAGGTGAAGGGGCGTTGGGCGCAGCTGCAACGGTCTGCTATTGTGCACAACTGCACACTTCCACTGCTAAAATGGTTTACTCGGAGCACTGAATCAGTAGGAGAAAATGTTGCTGGGTGGAGAACATCGGTTCAAGTGGTAAAAGAAACATCACTTCTTTACACAGAAAACTCTTATAGAACACATTGCTAATGCTAGGCTCTTACAGGCGAAGGTCTAAAACTCGCAATAACATGTGTACTTGTCAAATAGATACATTTTAGCTTTCTTCTCTACAAGAACCCAAAAAAAAAAAAGATTTGAAATGAGGCAAAAAAAAAAAAAATTGCCAAGTCCACCGTGCTGGACGATACCAGAAAAATGTCTGTCCTATCAATTACTTTATTATTGGTATCAGATCCAGCCTCTCTGTCTCAATCCATTTGTGCAAGGGTGGTGATTTCTAGTTGCCAGGTATCATCCTCGATGCTGAGATGTTGGAGACTTGGAGGACACCATCAAGCCTTATTTGTCAGACGCCTTGGCGCCTAACAGATAGCTTGTGCAGATGAAGTTTAATAGATAATAATTGTTGTACAAAAGCACCAGGCCTTGTATTTACGAGAACTGCAATTCTACAGCAACTGTACCTGCGTAATACTGGAAAGTACATATATACTCAGTAAACAAGAAACAAGGGATATGGAGTAAAGATAGTACTGTCTTCGAGTGTATGATACCTTGTTTCGATCTGAGCAAGCACCTTGGCCTTTACAGTTCAAATTAAACATTTGCAGAGACTTCTGCCTCAGGCTCCATACTTTCCTCCAGCAGTCCTGTCAGAGGTTCATCACTGTCTGATTGGTCTTTCTCTTCTGGTTCCTCACTGTCCGATTGGTCTTTCTCTTCTTTTGCAGTACCCTTTTTGTTCAATTCATCCTGTTCTTTCTGGATAGCTATCTTATTGGGAACAAGAACCAAATATATATTCCTCTCCGCGAAATTTTTACTTTCTTCTGTCGATAGCTGAAGTATGACAACAAAACTTAAAGCTTGCAAAAGTCCCAAACAAGTTGGGGTAGGCTAGAGTTGAAACCCAGCAGAAGCAATCAAGGTTCAGGCATAGATGATTCTAACAACAAGGAAAATAGGTATGATGGCCAAATATTGCAAACAAAGACATTTGCACTGAAGATGAATTGATTGCAAAATGAAAACCTAACACAGATTTAGGACCAAATTACCTCACCAACATCATTTTGGAATCTTCTAAGGAGTTCGATAGCTTCTTTTTTATACAAGTTTTCACGTCCTTTCAAGTTCACAATTATCTTAACCTGAAAAAGGCAGTCTCAAACAATAAGTTATACTACAAAATACATGCAGTCACGTGCTTGCACAAACAGCATTCTCATCACCTTGTCGCCAGCTTTAAGAAACTTTTTTGCAGCTTTAAGCCTCACGCTGTAATCATGGATGTCAATGTTGTATCTGGCAGGCAAATACACACAGAATTCAACACCAACTTATTAAGTTATAAAGAGCTAAACACACATGTCTGTTGTAATTTAGGAGCCTTATGATGCCACAAACAAATCAATAATTTATTACACAATTACCAGAAATAGATCATGACAATACCAATCAATCTATCTATGAAATTTTGCATTTCCAATATGGCAAATAGCTCAAACCAGGTCGAGCCATGTCTGCCTCAAAAGTTTTCTTATCTCTTACATGTTAGAAGTTACATAGCTATGCAAGGTGGAAGCAAAATAAGACTTATCCTTCTGGTCTAATAAAAAATTTCCAGAAAATGCAGCAATTTAGACGTAAGGGTCAATAATCAATGGAACTGAAATAAAAGTCAATTGGGATTATTCATACCCCATTTTTAACTCCTTCAAGCCCATGCGTTTTGCTGCAAGGAATAAACACAAATAAACATCAAACTCAATGCCTTTGAATCTTTATCAACAAAGGCGGCAGAAAAAGAAAGGTTCAATAAGCATACCGACAGATCTTTTCTGCTGAATCTTTTTCTTCTTCTGTTGTTCATACCTATGTTTTCTGTACAAAACCAACAAAAATGCATTCATATGATCCTAACATGAAGAAGTCTGAATCAGATAAACCATGTGACTATACAATTTTTTTCTGAAAGCATTTAAACTCTAGGTTGGTGTGAACATACTTGTAATCTCTCTCCTCAAAGAGTCGAAGTACTGGGGGATCTCCATCTAATGATAATATTGCCTAAATTTAGAAAATATCAGCAATCCTAATTGGTGTACATTACTACTGCACTGATAACAAGTGTCATCTGATGAATATCTGGTTTAAGGTAAGCATATGTCCTGTTTATGAAGGTAGTTTGCAAAGCTAGTTCATGCACCTGCAGAGATTGCACAGAGCAAGGAATGAAAAACAATTATGTACACTTTGTTGAATCAGTAGCAGTGTTAGGGCCAGAGTTTTTAGCCATTGCATGACAACTCACGACTGCTACAGTCATCATTGCATTACCAAAGTATTTGTTTTCCTATTTCAGAACTTGGAAGCCCAGGTGGACTACTCTATTATTCAAATCTGGTAGTGAACAGTTCTCATTTACTCTCTGTACAGCATTATGCTGAAATGTATGCTTTTGGAGGAAAAGAAGTGTACCAGTATAAGATCATTATCGTCAGCAATTTGAACTGCCTCGCTTACAGATACTACACCAACCTATAGGAAAACAAAGGAGTGGAATGGCCAGATGAACAGATAATGGTCGAAAATGAGCGAAGCAGCATAATTAGAGACGAGTATTACCATTCGTTTCTGTTCATCCAAGAGCCTTACAGTTGATGACCTAACAAAAAGAAGCACCACGCAACGTGAAGCAGCAGGTATTATAGATTTGCAGCGACGGCTCCATAAAAAAAAAAAATCTAAGGCACGCGAGACGTACTCGATGCGTTCAATGTCAAGGGCGGGGTCGTAGTCGGGGTCGGGCCCGCGGTCCCTCCTCCCCCAGCCCCCGCCGCCCCCGAGGCCCTCATCCTCCTCCTCCTCCTCCTCGTTCTCGTACGAGGGAGAGTACCGCGCGACCACCACGAGCCTCGCCGGCGGCGCCCGCGCCCACGGCCTCGCCGGGAACCGCGCCGACGAGGAGGGGCCCGCGGCGTGGAAGACGGCGCCGGGACGGCAAGGCACGCGGGACACTGCCGGCGCGAGGGCGAAGCCTGCCGCGACGCCGACCATGGCCGGCGGTGGTCGGGCGAGGGCGCGGGCACGGCGGCAGGCCTTATCTGGTTCGGGGGTTTTGCCGCGGGAAGCCAAAGAAACGAGTGGAGTGGAGTGGAGAGGATGACCCTGGTGGGGGTTTTGGCCGTTTGGGCGACGTGACGTGGGAAATGGGGGTGTGGGCCTTGGTGTTATGGGCCTGGGTGGTGAATCCATTTTGTTGGGCGGAATCTGAGCCTGAGGATAAGTTCACTTACGTTTTGGGCCAGCAAGGATTTCGTCTCAGCTTCGAATTCCATCAGTACCGGACTTTATATTGAGCTGTGCCTTCAGGAGTCAGGACACAATAATCCAATCACGATTTTCTCAAAAAAAAAAAACGAATCACGAGGTTCGACTGGATTTTCTGGCTCGAGATTTGTGACGTCGAATCTCCTCTGAACTGCTAAAGACGGTAAAAGACAGTGTTTTCATCTTAATTCTGCGCTGGGCGAACCAGATCCAGAATGTCGCTGCCGGGGCATCAGAAGCGACCATCGGCTCAATGTTCCTTAACTGCCTGCAGCAGCAGCAGCAGAAAACGCCGCCGCCACCGCCTCCCGCCACCTACACCAACTGTCTCCGCTGGTGCGGGCACGGTGGCTGTGGCATCCTCCCCTTGGGCGTCAATGAACGAAGACTCGCTTCGCCTGATAGCTTGGCGCGTGCTGGCCGGCGACTTGCTGGACTACGTCCACTTCCGCGCGGTCTGCGCCCACTGGCGGTCGAGCACCGTCTGCCCGCGCGGCCACGGCGTCACCGACCCGCGCTTCCACCCGCGCCGCTGGATGATGCTGCCGGAGGGCCACGGCCTGTACCCCGCCCACAGCAAGCTCCACGGCTACATCCGCTTCTTCCACCTCGACACGGGGAGGTTCGCGCGCGCCAAGCTCCCGGTGTTTCAGGACCACTCCGTCCTCGACTCGGTCGACGGCCTCCTGGTCATGCACAGGGACCAGGACACAGCCATCCGCCTCCTCCATCCTTTAACCGGCGACGTCGTCGACCTGCCGCCGCTCGTGACCCTCATGCCGCATATCTTTAACCAAGACCTGCCCGGGGCTTCGCACCCGACACATCGCTTCGTCTACCTCAGAGGAGTCTGCGCTTCGTTCAGTGTCAGTGCCGCTGGAGTCGTCACTGTCATGCTCGCACTTCATCGGATCGACTTCAGTGTCAGTGACGACTCCAAGGCAAACTATACATGGTGCGATTGAGTTTTATACCTGAAGAGAACTCGGATATATTCCAAGTTGATCCTCCACAGGAGGACGGGGACCATGTCGCAGGCTTAGGTTCTTCATTGCCAGAACCCAAGTTGATCGCCACAATTCCAACTGACAAGCTTGCCAAACCAATCTTCCTAGTAGAATGCAACTCGCAGAACCTTGTGGGTGGCTACACTGATAGATCGCTTTCGCATATGGTGGTTCATAGACTTGCAGATCTTAAATTGGAAAAGCTGATTCCGTTAAGAAGCATTGGAGATAAGGCTCTGTTCATTAATGATAGGTGTCTATCTGTTTCCTCTAATGGGGCATTGCCTACTGTTGTCAGCGACACCATTGTTCTGCCCAGTATGAAAGATGGGTCATTTGTTCAGTACCACCTTAATACTAACACTTGACCCTTGTTTAGTTCCACCCAAAATCCCAAAAAGTGCTACAGTACCTGTAATATCGAATGTTTGCGGTCTATGCATGGAGCATTAAATGTAGACGAAAAAAAAACTAATTGCACAGTTTGGTGGGAAATTACGAGACGAACGTTTTGAGCCTAATTAGTCCATGTTTGAACACTAATTGACAAATAAAAACGAACGTACTACAGTAACCCCAAATTCAAAATTCCTGTAACTAAACACGCGCTTGGTCACGGTCTATGGACGGTTGCATCCTAAGTGGACCGGTATTTGGCCCCTGTAGCCTTATCTATCATATCTACACCTGTTGCTGGCGTGAATTTTGGTAAGGGGATTAGTATCTCTCTCTGTTTTTTCCCCATCTTTGTATTGTTTTGTCTTTTGTTACAAGCTAGGCAATTCTCTGTTTCAGGAACAAAGGACAACTATACACGTGAAAAAAGCGTGCAAGTGGAGAGCGAAGGGAAAGCGGAAATGACGCCTTGGGGGCATAGTCTGCCTTGCTTAAATTTTTAAAGTTTGATTATTTTACTCTTTTGATGTGCTGGTGGTCAACACATTTGCTGCTAATCTACTTAGGGCAATCTCAATGCTAGAAACTACTATACCTATTAATTTCCATAGACACTACATATAGGAACCATGGTCCCAATGGATAATTTTTACATAACAATTTTTTATTCAATCGCATACATTCTCTCTCCATTCTCTACCAATCACATCGCTTCATGTCTTGGTTCTCGTGTAGACATGGTTCTTAGACCTAATTTCTATGATTTTTGTTCTCTCTCTTCAATAACTACCTTGCCACATCAACAAAACGCTCAGGTGACAGTATAATTAATGTCCATAGAAACTATAATGGTTTTTACATTGGGAGTGCCCTTATTATTCATGCTTTGTGCTATTAACTGCCACCCACTTCTGTTCGGCTGGTATTAAAGCCGGCTGATAAGCCGGTTTTGTTATGAGAGAAAAATACTGTAGATTCTAGCTGATAAGTCGGCTAATAAGTTCAAGCGAACATGCCTTGTATGTTGCTGGTACATTGACTTTGTTCTTGATGTCAAACCAACAAAGCTTTTTCATTATCACTATTTTTGTTAGATTTTAGGTCGCTAGTTAGGATGAGTTTGGTTTGTGTTAGGAGGTGGAATGGTGCCATCCTTCCTACTTCCTCTGTCCTAAAAAAAAAGACACTATGAGATGCGTGTTGGTCAAACATTCTTAAGTTTGACTAGCTTTAATAAAATATTAGCAATATTTGTATCACTAAATAAATTTATTATAAGAATATATTTAATGATTCATCTGATGATATTAATTATTTATTACAAATATTAATATTCTTCTATATAATTGATCAAAGTTAAAAAAGTTTGATTTCTCGAAAAGTGAGAATGTCATTCTTTATGGGACGGAAGGAATAGTTTCTATATTTAGTCTATAGATATAGGAAATGGAGCCATATCCTCTAGCGCCAATATTCCTCTAAGATGTCGGACCATCTCGCTCTAAAAAATGGCCACACTCTCACTCACTTAGACGGTGTGAGTGTCGTCTCCCTCTCGTGCACGCACGCTCACTTGGGACAAGTGGAGAGTCGACGTTACCGGGGACAAGTGGATCTAGTGTTGCTAGAGATGTGCCAGCATGGTCGAGGGCGGCGAAGTCATGGCGTGGGCGGGGTTGTGAGACTGGATCGCAGTGGGTGTGGAGGGCGGCAGCGCATCCAGATGAAGGGATGTTGTGAGCGGATGCAACGAGACCCAGTGAGGACTGAGGAGGTGCGGGGTGGGGGTGACCAAGAGAGCAGCGTTGCAGCTCACAGGGCCATGGACCAAGGTGGCCAGAGAGGCGCTCACGTAGGGCAGAGCCGTGAGCGAAGGTGGCTAGAGAGGCACCAGCGTGGATGGGCGAGAGAGGAGCAACACGGAGATAGAGAGGAGCAGGTGGAGATGGAGAGAAGGTACGGTGGGGGAAGAAGATATGGATGTTTGACCATTAGGTGGGCTCCAAGTGACAGTGGCCAGCGGAGCTATCATCCTATTTGTCACCGTTCTTACAACCAAATAAAAAAATAAACAGTCCCTCCAACCAAATATAAACTTGGAACTGTTTTATTTTTAAAATCTAGGATGGAGTAATGCCATCATCCCTTGGGCTCAGTACGCGAAGCAAAATTTAAGTTGCCTTAAGTGCCACTCGGATGAAATGTCTATTTGAAAATGTCTTGGTTCGTGGTGTCACTTGAAGAATGTATCTCCAGTACTAAGTAATAATGGGCCTGTTGTCTGAATTTTGGAGAAATCTGGATGGTTTGGAGGAATGCTGGAGGAATTTGTGAGAGAAAAACACTGTTCTGGATAAAAAAATAAGCGGATCAAGCCTGAGTTTAAGGACACGCGAACGGAATACATACATTGCCACGGAGGATGAGCAAAATGGGCTAGACACCCGGTATAACGCATTCTCTAAATTTCATGGTGGATGATGCAGTAATTCAGAAAAATCTTGGAGAATACAAAAATACACCATTCATCTCGCCAACACTGGTACTGATATGATACTAATAAAAGGAAAGTATGGAGATATAAAGCTCTAAATAAACCTGTATTGGATTGGTCAACAAGAATGTGAACTGCTCTTGGCGCTGGATGTGATTTGAGATAACTTCGTGAGCACTGCGATCCCAATATCATGCAGTCATGCTCATGCACCGTGATGGCAGGGATGCCAATGTCCATGTCCTTCCTGCTTGACGGCTGACGCCGAGCCTCAGCGCTGTTAGGATTTAATCTTGTCATTAGAGCATTGCATGTTTACATTGTTAGTTGCACGTAGAAAATAAGCATCGGTGGCTCATGGCCAAGATGTTGACATGCTGTGTGATGCGGGTGTTGCCGTGTGAAGCGGTGCTGCATGTGAATTGATACGAGAAGCAGGTGGATTGCAGGCAGAGAAAGGTCAAGAAAGCCCAGTGAATCGGTCAGGCGTGATGCATGGAAGGAGTGGCTTGAATCGGTCAAGCATGGATGGATGCATATACGAGATGTGCTGCTAGGCCATTGGTGGCCGGTTGTTATCCTTTGCATGTACGTAGTTGTTAAGTCTATAAATAATGAATGGAAAACGACATGGGTTGTGTGGCTTGCGTCAACAAAATTGTCTCTATTTTATCGTTCATGTGTGTGTTCATCCATGAAAGAGAAGGCGAGTGTTTGTGATAAACACTTGCAGAGTGAGGGAGAGATTCCCACCATTAGTGATTGAGTGATTTCCAACAATTGGCATCGGAGCCAGGTTGTTCCACGAAGACGATGCCGCATGACGGATCTTCACCGAGCAAAGCCATGGTGAGCAGTGGCTTCGACGACTCGACGACGACCGCAACAACGGGGAGGCTCCAGTTCCCGATGCTGACAAGGACGAACTACGCGGCGTGGGCGATGAGGATGAAGTATCTCTTGCGCACCAATGGCGCGTGGGGTGCTCTTGTCCCTGAGAAGGTTTCCGTGGCTTTAAGTGATGATGAGCTAGGTCTCCTGTGAATGGAGATGCCAAGATTAGGGGGGTGATTGTTAGTATTTAATTTTATCATTAAAGCATTGCATGTTTACATTGTTAGTTGCACGTAGAAAATAAGTGTCAGTGGCTCATGGTCAAGATGTTGACGTGACATGTAATGCGGGTATTGCCGTGTGAAGCGGTGTTGCATGTGAATTGCTACGAGAAGCAGGTGGATTGCAGACAGAGAAAGGTCAAGAAAGACGAGTGAATCGGTCAGGCGTGATGCATGAAAAGAATGACCTGAATCAGTCAAGCATGAATGGATGCATGCACGAGATGTGATGCTAGGCTGGAATTGACCGGTTGTTATTCTTAGCATGCACGTTGTTGTTAAGTCTATAAATGAATGAAAAACGATGGGAGTTGTGTGGCGTCAACAAAGTCGTCTCTATTTTATTGTTCCTGTATGTATGTACTATGAGAGAGTAGACGAGTGTTTATGATAAACACTTGCTGAGTGAGAGAGATTGTCACCATTAGTGAGTGAGTGATTTCCAACATGGGCGACGGCGGCGTTATTGCCTTATTGGCGACTGGCGAAGCAGACCCTGTCCTGCCCCCTGCTCGTCGAACATGTACATCACGTGTTGGAGCGCGCGCACGGCGGCGTCCGGGTGAGCCTGAACAGTTAGGCCAGCCCCAGCGCACCACGCTAGCTGTATGCCCCAACGTCCACGTGAGCACTAGGCTTCCATGTCACGCGAGGAAGGGCCTTTTGTACGGCTTATGCTGGCTTCGGCTTCATCTATTTTGCGTAAATTGAGGCACGGTAGCGTGAAGCCATTTTGTAAGCCGGGGTTAAAATGAACTAGAAGCCGAAAAAAGTCAGTTTTTCTGACTTCACCGGTAAAACCGTTTTGGATGAGCCGTACCAAAGAGGGCTTAAGTCTCTTCGCAGAGTCTGACGGTGCTTTGCAGAGACACCGGTGGTTTCACCTGACACAACTGCAAAGCACACAGTGAAGTACACGTTGTGAGGCAAATAGGAGATGCCCCAACACAGGTTCGTGAGAACGAACAGTGTTTTCCTCTCATAATAAATTAGCATAAACAGCAACATAAACCAAATTTCATCGAAACGAACAGGGCTGTTACAACTTGCAAGGGAGAGAGTGGGAAAGGGGAGAAGAGAGGAGAGAGAACATTGAAAGCGACATGCATATTATAGGAAAAAAACAATCATGTTTGGTTGGTGACCAAAACATGCCACACCTTACCTTCGGTAAACTGTGGCGAACAAAATCGAAGCCACACTTATGGTAAGGTTTGACAAGAAAATAAGTCTACGACATGTGTGATACGGTACTAAAAAAAATGTGGCATGCCATAGCTCTGGCAGTAAACCAAACCGCTGCCGCGAATCTTTGTCGTGACACGTCTTGATCACCAAAGTATCTTGCAATATGAGTCTTGTG